GCGTTTCGCCGGGTCGACTCGGTTCTCGGGGTAAACTTCAGGTGACATCCTTCTTGATGGAAATCGTCGATCTGGAGATCGCTCCGTGATCCGAAACCCGTGAGCTGTAAATTATATCAAGTGAGTGTTGTGCGAACGCGTGATCTCGACAGTGAGGATGCTCGGTGTATGAAAATGCTATCAGTCAGTTGAGGATCTATCGAGGCTGGGCCCGCGGAGACTTGCCCGGCCCGGCGTCAGTGATCCTAGGAGTTCGGTGTTGGTCTTGGAGAATTTGAAGCGGCTCCGGCGCAGTCAGTCTACAACCTCTCCCCCCAGCTTTCTACCTACCCTCCCATCTAAGCTCTAGACAATGTCGAACAAAGCTGGAGGAATGCACGTCTCGGTGTTCATCGTCGCGCTGCTCACCATCGTGCGCCTCGCTCAACTGGTGGTCGGAACGTGCTGCTGATCATCCGCAGGGCTCGTGCATGTCTCTGTTGACGAAATACCAAGCGAGTCGTCGAGGCTATGTCGACAAGAACCGGCTGATTTAACCCCCGCGCAGGATATGCAATGCGTTGCGAACTGCGACGACGGAGACGATCCGGCTACGCGCGTGATTTACGAGCAGCCCGTGCTGCAGACTGTCTTTATGTTCTGTGAGCTCCGTCGTTTAACGATCATCTGAACAATGCTAACCACGCTGATGCGATCCCAGGCGGCGAGATACTGTGTTGGTGGAGGCGCTTGAGCCGCGGGACCGAGGCTGATGTTCGCGACAGGTGTCCTTCCGACGGTCTACAGCTTCCTGATGGGGCGATTCGCGCGACAGAACAACGACGACTCCTCCAACACTTCCCGGGAAGGCGCGGTTCGCCTGGTCGAGGACGATACGGGTGGTGCCGCGGGCATCGCCAAGCCTGCGATGTCGTACAGGCGGTTCCTCTGGTTCTGGATGCCGGCGTCGTGTGACTTGGTTGCGACCACGGTGAGTCTGATTCGGGGTGTCGTGCGAGGGGTGCGCTGACCACGGGAACGAGTGCATGAACATGGGGCTCATGTCCCTGCCCATCTCGATCTTCGAGATGACGCGGGGGTCGATGATCCTGTTCACTGGTCTGTTCGGCGTCATCTTTCTCGGGCGCCGGTTGTTTGTGTTCCAGTGCGTCTCCGGAACCGTTTCTTTTTTGATCCGCGGATTATGACGGGGTACATAGATGGAGCGCGCTGTTCCTCGTCGCGCTGGGCGCGTTCTTCATCGGCTTCAGCACGCAGCTGAAGAAGTACCTCGCCTCCAGCGCTGGTTTCACCGAGACGAACTACGCCGCGCTGATCGTCGGTGCGTGGCCCCTCGTTAGCAGCCAATCTTATCTTATCACATGGCAGGGATCATGTTCATCCTCACGGGCCAGGTCTTCACCGCGCTCCAGTTCACAATCGAGGAGTGGCTGATGGCGACCTACTCTGACATCGACTCCTCGCTCGTCGTCGCGGGCGAGGGCGTCTTCGGCCTGCTCAGCGTCCTGACGCTCGTCCCCACGCTGCGCGCCACGCACCTCGTTTCGTCGCCGTACTTCGACCTCGCCGCGGGCTGGGCGCAGACGACGAGCAACCCCCACATTTGGCGCGCGGCCATCGGCCTCACGATCACGATCGCGTTCTTCAACTACTCCGGCGTCAGCATCACGCGCCGCCTGAGCGCGACGAGCCGCGCGCTCGTGGATGCGTGCCGCGCGCTGATCCTGTGGACGGTCAGTCTGGTGCTGGGCTGGGAGGCGCTCAGCTGGGTCGCGTCGCCGCTGCAGATCCTCGGGTTCTCGTTGCTTGTGTGCGTGGTTGCTTGGTTTCTCGGGTTTCGTAGACTGTGTGTTGAACGTTTTTTTTTGCAGGTATGGGACGGTATGTGGTTGCATTTGGGCTGTGACGTTTTGTATTCTGAAGCGTAACCCTGCGTGTCAAAGCTCCTGTACGGCGGACTCGTGCCGGTTCCCTTCCGCCGCGGTGTTGTCTTGGAAGGGCCCGAAAGCGCGTAGATATATCTTTTTAGGGGTTTCGAGGGCTGTCTGCTCTTCGAGCAGTCTGAATGAAATTGGAATTTGGATTTGTTGACATGTCTGTGATATTGGTTTCCGCGAGTCAAGCCGTCCTAGGGATTCAAGATGTGATTTGAGCGATTTCTTCGTAAATGACAGGCAAACAGACGACACTCAGCTTCCCCGTGCCTCGCAAATGTGCTCTTTCGGTGAAAAATCAGAGTTGGAATAATCGGCCGCAATATGACATTTTTCAAAGCTGCTGCTTCGTAAAATAGCCATGCATAGAAACGCAAGACGGGTGTCACCAGTGTGCGATTCCATAATGTGGCGTTGCGGTGCGAGACAGACAAAAGGGCAGTTGATAAAGGGTCACAACGGGATCCTCACGTGAGTTATGTTCATTGCCGGAAAACAAGGCTCTGATTCAAACGAATGTAACAGTTTTGATTTTGGATGACTAGCACATGTAACCCTAAAGCCAGCCAGACACGACACTCTAAAGACTTCTTCGCTAGTTTTGCTCGCTCTGCGGGACTTCCCAGAGCGTTTTGGCAGGTACGCCGTGGCGCCGAGGGCCAGCGCGGAGAGCACGACCATGACCAGGTACACGAACGATCCGCCGAGGATGTTCTTCTCCAGCGACAGGGAGAAGAGCGAGGTCGACGCGACAGGGCCGATGGCACGCACGACGGAAATGCACGTCTGTGCGATCCCGTTGGTGGCGCCGAGCGAGTGCTGGTTCGGCGCGGCCGCCCGGACGTAGATGAACGCGCAGCCTGGATGCAAGGTCAGTTCCATGAACATTTCGGCGAAAAAGAGAGAACGGACTGAATCCCATGTCCATGATGATGTACAACACCATCTGCAGAACCAACTGCACCCACGTCAAGCCATCAACACGGTCCGCCCGCAGCGCCGACAGATTCATGAGCGGGAAGAGCAGGAACATGGGCACGAACGTGCCCATCGCAGCGACGAAAACGTTTTTGGTCCCAAAGCGGTCGTACACGGAGGAGAACGCCGTGGCCTGGTAGATCCCGCTGAACAGCCCGAATGCACCGAGGCACAGACCGACGACAGCGGGCGTGAATCCCAGGCCGCCGAGGGTGATGGGCATGGTGTAGAACAGCGGCTGCAGCGCGCGCAGTGCGATATCGAGCAGTGCGAGCAGGGAGTAGTTGGACACTGCGGTGATGACACGGGGAGTGAGCAGTTCGCGGAGCGGGAGGTCCTTGTGCTCTACAGCTGCTCCGTCGGAGGTGCCGGCACGGCGCGGTTTCACCGTCTGCGTTGGATGCGTCAGAAAACAGATCAGATGGGGACAGCAGATGTGCTGCTTGCCTCTTGGAGGAAGAAGAAAGCCAAGGCCCACGAAAAGATGCAGTAGAAAGCAATCACAAAGCACGGCAAAGCGTAGGGGTACGTTTTCCAGAACTCAAATTTCCCAAACGTGTTGGGGTAGTTTTCGTATGGGTTGGCAAGGAGTCCTCCGATCATGGGACTGTGCATTCTCCGTTAGAGCACTCGTCAAACCAGGACAGCCAGACGTACCCGATGGTAGCACCCGTAGCCCAAGTCACAGGCATCAGCGCCATGGCCTGTGCGATGTTTCCCTCTCCGAGTTCGCCCATCATGCTCTTGATCACGCCCACGTTGCCGTTCAGGAGGCCTGCGAGGCAGCGCGAGACCACGATCGCCCAGTACGACTTGGACATCCCGAACGAGATCATCGAGAATGTCAGGCCGAAGAGGCCGACCAGGAGAACGGGCTTGCGGCCGATGCGGTCCGAGAGGCGGGACCAATGCAGGACCGTGAACGCCTCAGTCACGAAGAAGAGCGATTCCTTGCCGGGCGTCAGTGCCTGCGCGGTGTATCGCAGGAGGATGGCTCACGATGAGGCCGGCATAGTATCCAATCTTCTCTGGGTCGCCCCCGGTGATGGGGAGTTCTCCAACGAGCTGCGGGGTTGCGTGAGCGGACCCTCATCCCCAGACGACGGACCCAAGCGTACCTTGTTCACGAATGGGTATATAACCTGTGATGCGAGCGGCTCGGCGAGCTGCACCCAGAGCAGGATGAACAGCTGGAACTTGGGAAGGGGGGTGTGCTTTGGGGCAAGCAGTGGGGTGTTTTCGGACGCTGTAGAGCCAGTCATGGTTCACAGGTGAGTGGGGTGTTAGTCTAGAGCGAAGATACGAGGTGGGGAGGATAAGAGGGAACAAGGGAGCGAGAGACAGAGGGCTTGAGGGTATGACATGGAGAGCGATGAGTTAGAAGCCACAATCACGTGCTGCTGAGCTGGCTGACGATCCTGATCAACCCTCCGACCGGGCTTAATTCGGTGACCGGCTTAGTTTCTGTTCATTCATTTCGAAATCCCATGCCAGCCTGCGTTCGAGACACTGTGTCTTCGAGACGAGCGCAACTCGATATGTCGCCATGCCGTGCGGGAATCGGTCTTCTCGCGTCAGGGACGACTCCACCGCGGCATGTGTCGTAAGCAGCGCGAGTGCCGTGCTACCGGGGAGATCGGAAGAAAAGTGTAGCAACATTTTACATCTTCTGGTGCGGAGTTGTGACAGCCCGCCGTGATTGTGATGTAGGAAGCTGATTCTCATTAGGGCGCTTCGACGTAGGGACATCACTTGCGTTCATGGACGCTCAGTGTGCGAGGGCAGCTTTACCCAGGCGAAATGGCCGCACAGAGGCAATAGGACGATCCTAGGCTCCTCCAAGCCAGTTGCCAGCGGATTTCACGCGTCTGAGTCAGGCGTTTCTGCCTGATTGGTTCGACGACTCGGAGTGTGATTTGCAGCAGGAGCCGCATCGGAATGACACACACGTTGGACCGGGAACCGAAAAAGGAAAACGGGGCGTGGAATGTTCCTGTTTTCTTCCTGCCAGTGGTTTGGAACGTCTCCTAGTTGCAAGTGCCAGACGTGCATCGCATGGAAGACTCCGAAATGACTAAACCTTGGGTGTTTCTTTCCAGATCATTATATGTGTATCTGGCTTCTTTTCGCGCTCGGCGGCACGAATTTCATATTCGGACATCCCAACATTCCTGTCTCGATCCCACGTTTTCGGCAGTATGCTTGCGTTGGAAACTAAATTGCGAGAGCCTCCATGTTAGGATCTCGAGTCACGCTCTTCGGGCCGCCATGCGGGGGGCTTTTGACAGTGTCTTGGAAATGTTCGGCGGCGCTTACGTCCACAATTCAGTAACCTGGCGAACTCGCATCGACGATGTGCAAGGGCACATGGGCCGCCGGCGGAGCTGCGTGCATCTGTCGAAAATACCTCCTTGCCAGCGGTGAGCCGGCTCAAGAGTGAGGTAGATCGGCATTTGTCGTTCTCCGTTCTCCGTTAGGACAGAACGAAAGTATTCACGATCTACGAACCCTCCCAATCTCTGATTGCATCTCCAAGATGGGTGTTACGGTCTTTCTTCATGGAATAATGTGGTTCATACGCCGTGCATTGAAACAGCTCCGCGGCCTTGGTTGCTGACATATGGTTCATGGAAATACGCCTGTGGCTTTTTCACGGATCGCATGAAGCCCAGAAGTAATGCGAACGAAAGATCTCTGCCCGAGCACTCGGACAACAGCCAGATCGGGGCGACACCGAGCCGCCGCTCTGCGCGATGCTGGAATCAGATCATGTGCGGCCTTCCATTGCCTACTGGCTGAATTGCAGTTGAAAAAGATTAACAACGGCTCCACATGATTCGTCCGCGGCGGTGCAGCTTTTCTCCGCAGGGAGACGACTTCTGTTGCCGACCCAGAAGACCTATTGCTTGCTTACTTCATCGCTCTTAGAACGCATGGAATAGAGTCTGATGCTAGTTCGGTGCTTTACGGACGATGTACCTGCAGATCTGTCTTAAAGCTGGAATGATACATTTGCCGCTATATACACCAGGTCCCCTCACTTGCTACCGACCAGACCAGACTAGACCATCCACACGGCATGCAACTCATTACCGGCCCCGTTGTTGCTCCAGGCCGTCCTCAACACACTGATCTCGACCCCAGTGTGACCTCGGTGTACCCGATGACCAGGGCGCAGGAAGGCATTTGGATGGCTTACTCTGCTCAGCCCCAACATACGCTGTACAATCTGACGATGAAATTCACCCTGGACGCGTCGGACGCCTATTCGATGGAGAAAGTTCTTGCCGGTGAGAGAATGCGGCCCTCGAGTCCCTGACTGCGCACTGAGCATATTCTCCGCAGGCATCCAGACTATGACCGCTCGCCACGGAATACTCCGGTCCACCTTCCACGGCAACAAGTCGGTGTTGCCGGTCCCATTCGTGGCTGAGTGGGATAGCCAGTCCTCGCTGCCCTCTGTCCGATTCGTTTCGGAGCCGAAGTCCCCTCTCGCCAAAATGCACCTACAGAAGCTGCTCCACCAGGCTGTGGCCTTGTCGGACGAGTTTGCTGTTCGCTGGATTGTCGTCAAGTTTCAAGGCGCGCTCGAGGTCTATGTGATTGCGCATCATATCGCCTTGGACGGAACCAGCATGAGTGAGCTCAGTGGGGAGCTCCTGGGTTTACTCGACGGCAAAGTCGAGGAGAGCAAGTCGGTGACCGAGAGCTTTCAGAAGGCTCATATGATGGAGGTGTGTTTTGTGATCTCCTGTCATTTTTTTATGAATCTCAACTTGTGCAGTCTGTGTTCAGGGGCTCTGGCGCCTTCCAGTTGGCCAGAGAGTTTTGGCTCTCGCAAAGCCGGTCCACTTCGTCAATCCAGTGGAAGGGTCTCCCGAAATCATCCGGATCTGAGAACTACCGTGAGATTTCGAGATGGTCCGAGTTCAGTAAAGACGTACGGATGTTTCTTCCACTGTGTCCAGGATTGTTTACTCACCGCATCATACACACAGGAACTGGCGCAATGGAGTGCACGGCATCGGACGTCGTGGTTCAGAGTCGCACTAGCCGTAGTCGCGCTCCTCACCCAAGCGCACTCAATCCCAGGGTCATCCCGTGACCAGACGCTGACCGTGGCATTCGGCGGCCGTCCCAAGGGCCTTGATCGAACCGTGGGACACTTCGCCAACGCGCTCCCGATCCGCGTCCCCGTGACTGAGCTGATCCGATCATCGTCCACCATCACCTTCGACGCGCTGCTCCGCCTGCTTTCGACCACCGTGTCGGCTGCGAAGAAACATGAGCGCTTCTCGTTCACGGACCTGTCGCAAGCGTGCCTCGAGGAGGGCTGCATGCCGCCGCGGGCGCAGGTTGCTGTGACGCTGTCTCCGAAGCTGGAACGCGAGGAGTGTGAGCTGTACCCCGTCGAGGGTCCATATGATCTCTTCTTCTGCTTTTTGGAGGGCGCTGATAGTGTCTCTCTCGGGGTACATGTTTCTGATGCCGATTAAACAGTGATTCTGACCAGCTTTCCTCAGGTCATCTACGACCCGACTTTGTTCGATCAAAAGTCCATTGCGTCTCTCAAGGTGGACTTTGAACAGATCGTGACCCAAGCCATGGCGGAGACACCGTTCGATCTCAAACCGCTCCTGGATAGCCGTATCCCATGTCTTCTGCCGACCGTCGACCCCACCGATCTGGTCGAGGTCAGCAAGCGCCGTTTCCATGTCATGTTCGAGCACCAGGCCGCTCGCAACCCCGACGCGCTTGCCATGGCTTGCGCAGAGAGAGAAGAGTCCATGACGTATGGAGAGATGAATGGGCGCGCGAACCAGATGGCGAATGGTGAGTTTCCTGTCATCCGCGTCTTTTCGCGTGTCTCATGTCTTCGTAGCGCTGCGTCAGTTGGGAATGGGCCGCACCAATGTTGTACTCTTGCACTTGCAGCGGGGACTCTCTACCCTGTGCTGGATCTTGGCCGTCCTCAAGGCCGGTGCGACATATGCCATCGCTGATCAAGGCCACCCTCTTGAACGGACGCGAAGTGTCATGACGGTCGCCGAACCGGACCTGGTTGTGGATGACGGCATGGGTGTCGATGTTGGGTTCTTCTCAGGGACTGTGAAGACCTTGCGCACGCACACTTGCTCTCTCGACGGGTTCTCGAAAGATAATTTGAACGATGTATCGCAAGACGAAGATCTAGCGTACATTGTCTTCACTTCCGGTAGCACCGGTATGCGACAATCATCTTTTCTACAGACGTTTCTTGCTTAACGTCCCGCACAGGCCAGCCGAAAGGCGTCGAGATCTCCCACAGCAACCTTTCGAATTGGATCGCTTCTGCTCACGGGTCGGGATACTTCGCCATGGGCCCCTTTTCACGTGTCCTGCAGTTTGCGACCTTTGCTTTTGATGCAGCTGTGCTTGAATGGTCCCTGGCGCTTTCTCTAGGATCCAATTTGTGCTTTGCCAATACACCCCAGGCCCTGATCGGCGACTACCTCGCGGACGTCATCGACAAGAATCTCGTAACTCATATGCACCTCACTCCCAGTGTGCTTGGGACTCTGCCGGCGTCGAGAAGGTTGCAGAGCCTTGAATGCATCAGTGTAGGCGGAGAGATGGTCCCGGATAACCTTATCGAACGTTGGAGAACGAGAGTGACCCTGCAGAATGCTTATGGGCCGACTGAAGCGTACGTCCGTGTCCTCTCATCTACTGACCGGCGTCCTGACGGAGTCTTTGCAGAACGGTCGTCATGGCTCACCGACCTCAGCCCAGTTCCCCAGGCGAGGTTGCGCCCTCCGCGGCGAACATCGGCAAACCGCATTCGCCCATGGAGGTGTTTGTGTGCAACCCTTCGTTCGACCGACTGCTGGCTGTCAACGAGATCGGAGAGGTCTGTCTGGCCGGCCCGCAACTTGCCCGAGGGTGCGCATACATTGCAGTTGTCTCGGAACATTCAGACTGAAACCGTCCTGTTTAGTTACCGTAATCGGGCCGATCTTACGAGCGAACGATTCGCAGTCCATCCCCAGAATGGCAAGCGGATGTACAAGACGGGGGACCGCGGCAAACTGTTGGCCGATGGCACCGTGGTCTTGATGGGCAGAATGGATCGCGAGCTGAAAGTCCGAGGGTACAGGTGAGTCGATTGGCTCAAGGACCGGTGCTTGGACTTACGGCAACGTTGAGGATCGACCTGGATGACCTGGAACGCACCATTCTGGCTGTGATGCCGTCCATCATCAGCGTCTCGGTTCAGTCATCTCCGTCGGGCAACGACTTGTGTGTGTTCGTTTCGCCACAAACTGTTGATGGGACCGAGCTGAAGCGGCTCCTCGCGCTTCGGGTCCCGAGTTACATGGTTCCGAGGAATGTGTACTGTCTGCAGCGGCTGCCCTTGAACACGAGTGACAAGACGGACCACAAGGTGATCAAGCTGCGCATGGATGAGCTGATTAGGGACGCCAAGTTCCCTTCCGGAGGCTCTACACCCGTCAGCACGAGCTCAGACGAAGACGACCTGAGCTCGATTGAGGATTCCAGCCGCAGCTCGACCTTGGCAGATTCGACCTTGCTCCAGGCCGACGAATCGATGTCTCATCAGGAACTGACCAATATCTGGATCGAACTCCTCGAGCTGAAGTCAGCGCCCTCTGGGAAGAGCAGCTTCTTCGATCTCGGTGGGAACAGGTAACACTCATCCGTCTTTGCCTATCGTCCCATGTCTGACGTCTCTCAGCTTACTCGCGCAGACGCTCATCGAGAGGGTCAGGGGGCAACTCCCTACGGGGTCCTTGACGGTGTCTGTTTTGGACCTTTTCACCTACCCGTCGTTGGAAGACTTCATTCCCTTCGTCCAGAGTCGTGCTCCGCCCAAAATCGCAAGTCCTGTGGTCAAGGGCACTCGGATTTCCAGGCAGTCCTCCACCAAATCACTCACAGTAGCCAACGATGTGGACACCATCTCGAGCCTGACGAATATCTGGAAGTCGGTTTTGCAACTGGATCGGGTGAAAGAGGATGCGAGCTTCTTCGATGCTGGCGGAAACAGGTGCGTGTGTTTCTCGATCTCTCTGTATCGTTTGGCTGACTTTGTCAGTTTGTTGATGACAACTTTACACCAGTCTATCCTCGAATCTTGGCCAGGCTGTGGCGTGCAGCTCATCCACCTGTTCCAGAACGCGACTATCCGGAGCCAAGCTCAGTTGATCACAGTGCCGTCGCCTGCCAGTCGCTCCGCACCTTCTCTGAAAGCTCGCAAGAAGAAAGCAAGTGTCACTGGGAAGAAGGAGCGAGCAGCTAGGAAGGATTCCACCAGTCTAGAAGAAAGCAGAGACATCGCAATCGTCGGGATTGCCGGCAGGTTCCCTGGCTCATCATCGCCCCAAGAGCTCTATCAGCTTTTGCTCGACCAGACTGAAGGTTTGACGCATCTGTGTCCGGATTCGCCAACCGAGGTGTTCCCCGGCGGGGTATATGTACCGCATCGAGGTGCATTGAAAGATGTTTGGGAGTTTGATGGTGCTCGATGGGATATCAAAGCCGAAGAGGCTGAGTGGGTGTTTGTCTGATTAGTGACCTAC